AAACAATGTAGAGGAAATATGTCAGCAAATGTGAAGGACCCATTTTGTATAATCTCTTCTGTAGAGTATCTAATTATTTGATCCACTCGTTCTCACTGTAATCCTTGTAAAATCTCAATGAACATTAACATTCCACAGGAATAGGAAATAAATAACTGATAGCTTTCAGTTTCCAACCACTCTAAGCCCAGAAATATTACTAATGATGATCAACCATTTGAAGCCTTCACTCTATTACAATAACTACCAAATCATTATTTGCTGTTGGGTGCTATAAGCTGTAGAGCATGGGTATCATTATATGATTTTTTTATCCTTTTTTTTTTGGTTGGATACCAAAAAAAATCCTTTTTTATGAGCAACATCCTACTGTATATGTTTTAATTGTTTGGAACTAGGCATTTTCATAGAAATTGCAACTGATGAGAACACAGCTTCAGGAACTTCAATTTTTTTATCAGCAACTAAAGGAACTTCATAACCAACATCACTGATGAATCGAATCAAGAGTTTTAAGCAAACCTATCTGCACGTTATCTAAGTATCATGAGTCATGACTACAGCCTAATCCATTTGGATCACTACATGGATCTCCCTCCATTGTTCTAAGACCTTGTCTTTCATTGAAAAGTGACTTGAAACCATCTTTTCTTTACCATAATATATGCTCTTTTCAGCCATCTCCCTTTAGCTCAAGAGTCATGATGAAACCATCTCAATCAACTTATTTGTCCCATTTATGGCTGCTACTCCATGGTTCAGTATTACAACATCATAACATTACCAGTTCATCGATCTTAATATGCTCATCTAAGCAAAACTCATGCAAGAATAGTTGTAAAGGCATAAAAGTTGATAAAAAAGCAGAATGCAATCTAAAATGATCAACATTGAAAGGGTAAAACATACCTTCTGTAGTACAGCATAACCAACTTCATGACCACAGGAAATGTGTTCAAAAATTGATTCCTGATGTTGATTTCCAAATTGTACACTCAATTCTATTGTTACTATTTCTTGTTTTCTGTGTATTTGCCATGCTGATGGTTACCATGATTGCAACTAAAAAGTAAAATCACTTCTTTTTACCTTTATTAGGTCAGGAAATAATTATAGAAAAAGAAGATAACACTTCACGGTTATTGAAGAGAATTTTAACTGGTTAGTTCTATGCTTATAGATTACTTCTATAAGCAAGCTACACTAACAGTACATGAAAGCCATCTAACCCAGAAAGAAAGCCCCTTGATGAATTACTCTAGATTACTTCTATCTAATCACCTCTCAGCCTATCTGCCTATACCTGCACCTGCAAGGGTCAATAATCCTACCGATAAAAAGGTAAATAAATCAAGGAAACTATTTCAAATCAACAGCACGGATGGAATCATGGAAGGTAATCCAAAGCTGTTAGTCAATTAGCAATCAATAAAACACAAAGCTTCTAATCTTGGGAGTTCATAATACACAAGTCATAACATTAACCCATCCAGCTACATGTGTAGTCTACCTAAGAAAGAAGACATTGGATCAGAAAAGGTACAAAATAGTGAATAAAGCAAGTGCTAACTAGAACAATGTACACAACTAATTAATTCAAACAGAGCACAATTAACTGTTCAACTCTAAAAGAACAATTGAATTCTTTAACAGAATATCCAAATCCCTTTATCTTTAAATACTTAACCAAGACATAACAGAATTTAGATTTGCATCAAGATTTTCCAGAAAGACTAATTTTGTTTTTAAGGAATACATATATTAATTAGAGAAAAATCGATAACAAGTGCATGAGAGGATGTAAAAGGTACTGTACCAGAAAAAAAATCTCTACCCTCCCATTCTAACTAAGTCATCTGTGATGATTATGGAGTCCAGCTCCTCCTCGGAATCCATCTCAGATAGAGGACTAAGAATTCAAGTTGTCTCTATCTCATTAATGAAGTGAGCCAATCCAAATGGGCCACAACCCACCTTGGTAGCCCATATAATGACATTGGCAGTTTTCACAAACTAGTAGTGATGAATGGTGCAGCCTTCTAACAACCCTTGAGGCTTGAGCCACTCAAGGAGGCCATGACTTCTGCTTCACCATGTCAGCATCTCCTGTGGAGCCACTAAGAGACCATATGGGTAGTATGACAATTGTTTTTTATTTTTTTTATCAACAGCAGTATGACAATTGTTGTCTTTGTTCAAGTCAACAGGAAATAGTCAACCATCTTTTTTGCACTGTAGTTGCACTTTCAAACTCTGGGCGTGGTTATTGGGGGCCGTTCGGAGTGAATTTGTGATTTCCAGCCTCATTAGAAGAACTGTTCAGAAGCTGGCATCTAAAGGGGCTGAGCAGAAGGGGAACTGTAGGATGGAACCTTTTTCCCCCTTGTTATCTTATAGGACATTTGGGTGGAGAAAAATGCTAAAATTTTTTTATAGCTATACATCCACAGGAAGATATGCTGCTTAAAAAGGTTTTGGTATGATCTTTTCATGGCTGCTGATGCACAAGAGGTTGAGGTGTGTACCTCACATTAACTTTTTAATTTGGAGAAACAGTCTGTGAACGGTCGAACATGGGTTACAATCTTCTGTACAGTAATTTATTGTACAGGGTTTCTGCTGTTTTTGGATATAAGCTCAGAATCAATACATTGCATCATTACTTTTATCTTTTTCAAGAACAAATAAAAGAGGTAAAGGCATTTTACCAAATTGCCCTTGGTAATAGAATATTAGTTTTACCTCTAAAATATGTACTTTGAAATTTATAAGCTCAGTTGTAATAACTAAATATAGTTTTACCATCTCAATTTTTTTAAACTTTATTTTCTAGAACTTGTTTCAAACTTTCCACTCCCACCTTAACCTCATGCAGGACAAAAATGTCCCTTTAAAAAATATAAATAAGGATATATGTGTCCATCTAATGAGCAAGAAGGTAGCATACAAGGGTAAAATGGACTTTTGAACACTTTTAAATGTCATGTAAACACTTTCTGTCACTAAAACTGAGTGAGGACATGTTGATATAGGGGTGGTTGATAAAATGTTAATAGAGGGGCGAAATAAGTAATCCTATCCCAAACTACAAGGGATTAGTAAGTTAAAAAGTAATTTACCCATAATATATCTATTTTATTTTGCATTCATTTCTTAAGTTTTCAAATAAATTAATAAGAAAGGTTTCCTGATCAAGTATGGTATCACCCTAGACAACCCCACCTCTTTTTTGCCACAGAGGAATCCTATTGTCAATTTAAATTATCCATTATATAGGGGGTTCTCTAGATTGGCCATATGCTCAATTTGAGCTTTACCCTATTAGTGCAAATTATCCAAACTTATAAATTTACAATTTATGATTATGGGAATGAAATAAATTATTATGAATATAAAATGTAATGCCACATAAGCATAATTTATAAAATTCTAAATTGTAAATTTTTTACATGACTTCCCAATTCAACACCATGACTCCTGAATTGACTCCATTCCTGACCTTGTCAAGCTAAACACCCGAGTCTGCAGGCTACCTCTATAACTGCTTTCCAGTAAAGCCTGCCATAAGAGCAAAGGCCACTAGATCACCACTAATACAGAAGGTTTCAAATGCTGCTTGCTGCCCACCACTTAAATATGAGTTTTCAGTATAAAGGTTAAGTTCCAAAGAGTTTAAATTTTGAAAGTAATGACAGAGACGATAAATAGTGCATCTTATTTTCATTTTAGTGTGTTCCAATTCTCCAACTTAACAAAAGCAATTAATGAATATGAAATCTCTTTCAATAAAAGAAAATTAGATGCGTTATGCACCAAAAAGCAGTTTGAAGGTTCCTGATACATACACTGGATCAGCAAAATGAGTACCCATACTCTTTAACGTAAAGAAGAAAGTAACATGACATGCTTCAGATCAGATTTCAATAAGAAGCATAAATGAAGACAAGAATTGCAATCCATGCAGAATAAGATCAACAAACAGACCCATCTCTCCTTCTGTTGAGGCCCACCAATAATGCTGGGCAAGGCATCTCTCCTTCACTTGACCTTCAACTTTTTGCATTTTAATAAATAACAATAAATATTGCAAAAAAAATCGTTGGTATAAATAAACACAAAGACCAAAGACTCCAAACAAAAAGATGAATCTAGACCAATATCCTCAATAACAGTCCTTGTACAACTAACATCAGCCTGATAGAAATCCTACACAATGATCAAGCAAAATATCCCCACACTCATGTAAAGAATATTAACTATTATTACAATGAAAGCAACAGCAAGCATAGAAGGGGAAAAAAGAAAGAAAAAGAAAAAGAAAAGACATATAGCACATAAAAACTCTATCTACCAATCCTCAAGACTCAAGAGATTTCCACAATAATGAGAAACAATTAAAGGGGCTAAGCTAAGAGATCAAAAATGCCTTCTGCATCCAAGTAGATAATGTAGGATACATAAAATAAAGAACTACAAAAGCCTACATGTTACTGTCGAAAAGAAAAATACCGAATACCAAAGATATCTCAACCTAGGAGGCAACAAGCGGTTTTCAGAATCACATTGGAGGGTTTCAACATTCCATAACATGCTTAACCATCTTAGAAATTAAACTGATGGAAATTTTCAATTAATACAAGAAAAGGAAACCAAGTTCCCAAAATCTCTTATGTTGAGATGGGTAAGCATAGATTGGTGTCTGAAGAACAATTTTGCTACATTTAATAACATAACAAGCACTGAAAGACCCAAGACTCTTTAAAGCTAGCAACAATGTCCAGCTCATGCAATCTCACCAATCTCCATCCCCACCCTTCCTCACGCCAACACAAGTACCTAACCCACCACCACCTCCCCCCCCCCCGCAATATAACAGACACAAAAGGAAAAAAAAAAAGATATTTAAAGAAATATGTTTCCCGTTATGAACATGCCCATAGAACAATGCTAACTGCATTTTAGGTTTTAAATAACCCTAGCTAAGATTACTGAAGTATATATGTCGCAGGCAAATTGCAGTTCCATAGATATGATTCCTCATGCACATGCGGAATCCACAACATTCTGGAAAGAAAATCCAGAGGAAGAAGAAAAGAAAAAGAGAAAATTCATAACTTAGCAAGGCCGAAGGTATACATAGAGAGAAGAGATTCACACCAGGATGTATTCAAACAAACAGTTTTTCATTTTTATTATTTTTTTTTCCTTTTCAGTGAGTATTCTGTCCATTTTCAACACCGAGGCCATACAAAACACCTGCATATTTCTCGGTTTGGCCATTAAAGAAAGCATCTTTCAACTTCCTGAATGTACAAGAGGTAAGCAAACTATCAGACCCGGCTTGGTGACAGATACCAATACGTTCCACTTCCAATAACTCCGCAAGCTTGTTCAACCCACCATGAAGGCTGTTGCAGAACTTCATGAGATGCTTGATGTCATACACATTTGGGAAATACATCTTTATCAGATTGAAAAATCCAGCCTGCGTATCCGGCAAGTTCTGGCACGTCAGGAGCTTAAGCAAGTAGCCAAAATCGTATCCACTGTGAAAGGTCACCCAAAGCACGCTATCGTTCAACACAATTCCAGAGGACATGAGGAGCTCTCCGAACCGATGCGCGTCGATACCCTTCTCGTTGTTCTTCTTGAAATCGATCCCGCTCTCGCGCAGCAGCTCGATTGAGTCATTCGCAAAAACATCCTCGCTAACATTGAACTCACGGAAGTTGAATTGCCAAACGCAGTACTTGTCGGTCCCACACGTCGGAAGGTTCCCTGCCTCGTCGGAAAAAGTCAGGCCCAATTGAATCAGCTTCAGCATGTCAACGTTGGCCTTCAGAGTCTGGTAATGATAATCGGAGCTGGTCTTGAAATTGCCCACAGGCCGAAGGACAATCCCAGGGAACTCGGTATCCATAGCGATGTACGGGTAGTCGTCCACGATCTCACGAATCAAAACGAATTCCTCCTCGAGATTGTCATTCCAAACTTCCCTGATGTGAATCGAATCACCCTTCGATAAAATCGACATTTTCGCAGCGAAGCAACGAGATCAAACAGCAACCCCTTCAGACCCAGATCTGTAACCAAACCATAAAGCAAAAGAACCTCCAAAACCCAACCGATCTACCGTGTCTCGACTTCCTCCAGCCAGATCTGCAAAAACCCCAATCACTAAATCACCCACAAACAAATATCAATCCTAACAAACTCAACAAAACCCTAATACCAACAAAATCAAACCCAGAAAACCAAGGAACCAAGACGAAATCAATCATAGGTTCGAGATCTAACCTCAAATCCGTGAAACCTCCATCTTCGTTTCACAGATCTTGAATTCGGGATGACTGGCTTGCTCTTCGACAAAGAAAAGCGGAGAAAGAGAGAAAGGAGGATAGAGATGCAACGAAGCTTTTTCTAGGGTTTCTGCTTTTCCTTTTTTATAAATAAATATAATATTTTCCTTTTTTTTAAAGGCGGTTCAGAAGGAAGAGAGAGATTTTTAGGTTAGCAGACTCGTATAAAGTCTTCACATTACAGCAAGAGAACGAATCATTAGAGAGAGTGGAGAGAGAATGGGCTTACAACACGGCTTTTGCCACCCGCCACCCTCCCCCCTCCACCTTAAAAAGCAAAAAAAACATTATTAAATTAATGCAAAAATCAAGAAAAAGACAGAAGGTCCGAGGAGAAATAAGAGTGGAGACCAATAAAATATAATTTTTCAAATTATTAATAAATAATTGTAGAGGTTCGTAGGTCGGTTGAGAGAAACACCTTGTCGCCATGTCAGCGTGTACCGACCCGAATCTAGCGGGTTTGGTTCGGGTCACCTTATGCGGGTGTGGGCTTTCTTTTTTGGGTATTTATTTTATAGGCTTCCTTTGGTATAAATGTATTATACATCATACTTGGGAAAAGTCGATCTCTGTTCGATAACCCCTTTTTTATTTTTTCGGTCGGGCTGTATGTTTCGATTCGGATCGAGTACGAGTTGACTTACGTTCAAGCAGAATCCGACCCGTTGGCAAAAGGACTTTCTTCTAGACGGGTCGTGTAGTATTCTTTTTATTTTTTTTGTAGAAGGGTGCAGTGTATCTATCTGAGAATTTGACGATATCTGTGCCTACTGCTAGTGTGGTCAGATTCAAAAGGGGGCATGACATTGGAGGTCCAACAGGGGGGCTCCACGTTGGATGGTTAGTTAATGGTCAGGCTGGTCTTAGACGGTCCACTGGAAAAGCCCGTGTAGGATTCTGTATATGAGATGACAAGCGATGTCGAAATCGGCTTCCGGACAAGCCCGTGCCCACACCATTCCAATCGCCATTTGCAATCTTGTATTGAGAATATTTTGCCCTGATGGAAGCTTCTTCTTTTTTTTTAATAACAAGCGAAATGAGTCTGGATCTGTAAGAATTCTAACGTGTGTAAGCAATTATTGTTCGACATTCTCTACCTTTGAACTCGAAGAATTATTCTTCGAAGTCCAAATTAAATAGTGCCATATGTGGCATTTGATCATCACTATGATTTCCAATTTTATGAAATTCACATCACTATGTTAATGTTTGTTGACAGTGCCACATAGGCACCCCATCAGCAAATGTCTCATTAATTGCATTTGTGTGTGTCGAACTTTGCTTTTTACAAACTTTGGTTTCTGTGTGCCTCTCCCATTTCATAAAGTTTCATTTTGGAGCTTCATAGAACGGGTAGGCGTTTATTGGCATTTTGCTGATGTGGTGCCTAATGGCGCCTATGTGTCATAAATGCCTTCATTAAATGTGTTTCTCAATTTTGTAGTCACACAAGTACAAAACATTTACTAAATAAACGTAAACAGAACCAAAAACCCTCATTATCTTGCTATGCCTCACCAATTCTTTTAGCCATTGGATGATTCAGCATCGATATGATAGCAATATTATATTGTTACCAAACAAAATTTGTGTATAATGCTAGTGCATTTGTTTAGATAGCAACAACACTGCCAAACAACATTTATAGTCATTTTAAAACAATGCAACGCTGCATTGTCTTCTAAGAAAACAAGAATGGTACAACACATTTTAATAAATCATATTTAACATAATATGTAGTATGCCATATTACGTTATACTATTATATAATGTGTAATTGTTATATTAGTATATGGATATTTTGCATTATTGAAGAACAATTTATAGAATTGATCTTTTCAATTTAGTGATGAATGTTTATTTGGAAGTGAGTCAATATCTATGAATTCAATAATATTTTTCAAAACTTAGAGATGTGTCTAAATGTTTAACCAAATGACTACCTAATTTTTGAAAAAAAAAAGTTCAAATGCCAGTTCAATGCCATTGAATGCCACCTCCACTGGTTATTGTCACCACTTTCCCCTTTCCCAAAACAAACAAATAAATAAATAAAGACAAAGCTCTAGACTCCATCAAACCTCTCTTGCGCAAAAATAATTCCTTAATAATGTTAGCATCGTAAATATCATTGTCATCATATTTACTCCCTTTTTATCTAAATTCGTTGAACTCCATCCAAACTCCAATCTTTTGACAAATTTCTCCTTCATCTATTCATATATTCTTAGCTCTAGAACCAACTATATTATCCTTAACAATTACAATACAATGGTGAATGATCATTGGAGTTCATTCATGTAATTCGACTTTTCAACTAAATATTGTCTTGCTAGTTCCATAATAAACATGTCTAGGGCATAAGGTTAGTTGACGTGTCATTTCTTGAACACATGGAAGTCAATTTATGAACGACTCTCCTAACATTTAATAGCTTTCATAATCACAATAAATTACTCTAAGAAATTGTAACAACCACCCTAATTAACAACTTGAACACAATAATTTAATCAAATTTAAATAGACTATTTAGACATGAAAATAAGCTCTTATCTAAGAGAAAGATATATATCAAACTACACACTTACCAAATGTCACCATCCAAAAGTCTAAAATATCGTCACCTATAGTTTAAACTAACCAAATACATGGGCATCCCCTTCATTGTACTTAGTTGCATCTCTAGAGGACCCACTAGTATTTGAAGTTTGTCATAGCAATAAGTTATTGGGTCACCAATTATCACACATTAGTGGGCCCTAAAATGAAGAGCAAAGTTGATATTAGAGAAATTTTAAGTAAGCTTTTAATGTTTTGATGATTTAGATTGTTAGTGAATCGATGTCAATGATCATGTGTTCATGGCAATAATAGAGAAGTTCAACCGAAATGAGTGTGGAAAAGATGGTGACAACATTGTTCAACGATGCCTTATCCTCAATATTAGAATAACCTTAATGGGAAAATTTATCCAAGGTTTCTTTTAAAGGTCGATGCATAGGCAATTTGTAATAGTGGCAATGTGAATTTGAAATTGAGAAAGGAAATGATAAATAATCGAAGCATCACTGATGAAAATACCATAAGTGGAAAAACTATAGTTATCGATGGTGCTAAGAGAAATAATGTTGGATAAATATAAAAAATAATATATCTAAATTGACAAATGAATAACATTAAGGAAAACGACAATAAATGTAAAAGAGATTAGACTAGATTTAGTGGGTGGAAAAAATTTTGGCCACCTATTGAAAGAGTATGACCACATTGAAGGATCTTTAGACTTACTTAACCTTGGGCTCTAATACCAAGTGAAATATCAAAGAAAAGTTCATAAAATTGTACTAATAAATCTAATAAATACATCAAGTTAACCCTGTGTTTTAATGATAACAAATTCATTGAGAGTACCAATATTTTGAAAAGTAAGTGTGCAGTTGCAATGAAACACACCTCAGTTAAGCTTAAAAGTGTTGAAGAAACATTTGTTGATATGAGGCAAGAATGTGCAACTAATTCATATAATAGATCAAATACTCTTCAAAGAATATGATAGCTACCAAGAAGAAAGAAGAAGAAAAGGGGCATCAAGTATTAATTTGTTTTATCTTTTGTAAGACTTGATGTAACCAGGTTTAAGATAAACTTAATGGGCTTAAATGAGAACAAAATCGAATAACTAGACTTTAGAGACCAATAGCTATAAGTAGGTTTAATTCTTAGGTGTTCCTGAAGTCATTCGTTGACTTAAATGCATAAAATCCTAAACTTATAAATCTTTTTTTTTTCGGTATTTGGTGATACACAGTTACACACCACACTAATAACCCCCTTCTCAAAGTGGGTGGTTACAAGAATTTGGGTCTATGCTCGAGCAAACCAGCTAACATACCAACTGAGCCATCCCTCAGTTTGGAAGTCTAAGTAAATGATTCTTGAATCTTTTGAATTAAAACCTTTACAGTCTCTAAGGCTATTAATAGTGAGTAGTCGACTACCTACAATTAGGAGTTAACTACCTTTCACAATCTACTACTTGAATCACCTAATAGGCAACTATCCAAAATTACTAATAGGCTATTTATGAGAACAATATCTAGGCAAATTAAGTAGTCAACTACTACACAAAAAAAAATTCTCATGTGATTGTTATTCAATCATTTGAGCTCTAGCAATTATTTCCTCTTTGGAAAAAAATTAAATAAGTTAGAAATTGTATTTAAAGAGTTCTAATAGAAGATTGATTACACTCCACCATAGGACTGCAAACAGATCAAAGAGAATTCAAATATATAAATATGATCCAATAATATAAATCTTATATTCAATTTGATCCAATGATCTAATTGGATCTTGCAAAGGTCGATTCAAATTCGAATCGTTAAGGATGCTAGATATCTGAGTTTGATATGATTCAATTTAATTTATGTAAAAATTGACAAATTATTAAAAGAACAAAAAACATATCAATTTATATAAAGAAAAACAAAAATATAAGCAGTTTTTACTATTTGTATCATATATACATGTATTTATTATAAAAAATAAATAATATAAAAATTGCAAGAATGCGATATAAACATATAAAGGATCGGATATGGGTGACCTGATTTTGATCCACTTTTTAATTAGGTCCTATTATTCTATTTTATCTTATTTGAAGATCCAACAGGGGGATATCCAAAACCACCAAAATAGGAATGAATTTAAATTCGGATTGGATCATGACCTGGTTCATTTGCACCCCTACTCCAACGGTTCAATAATAGTCAAATAATGGCTATATTGTTTTACCTACAAAAAACTGTAAGAATAAGAAATTAAGATGACAACCATGTTAGGTTCAAAGTGTTTACCAAGGAAAACAAGAGGGATTCATAAATCTTTAAAAGAGTAGATTTGTTGAGTCCCTTATGAGCTAAATAGCTCAAAACAAATAGTGAGAAAAACCAATTCAAGCTTAGGGTATTCTTATGTTATCTTGCATATTGGGCTACTTTGTTTGCAATTATTCTATCAATTTATTGAGAGGCATTTCATTTGTATTGATCTTGCATTGTTGTATATGTTTTATTTAGGTGTTCAAAAGAGAACACCATTGTAAGTTTGGTTAATACCTATAAGTTAACTGTTTATGTTTGGTTGATACTCAAAAGTTCAACCAATTCAAGTAGTGCAAGCACCCAAAAGCCTTGTTGGTTTGATTTGACTAGCATTCAGAAGTCCAACTAATTTTAGTGAAATTCTTATGTGGTGTGCCTAA